CGTTACGGCTGAGGTATTTACTAATTACGGCCGAGTTATGAGAAAAATCATTTTATTTAGAGGGCCATTTGTATATTAACATTATGTCTGGTTCTAATAATGTCCAAATGTTATAACATTAAATCACAATAAAAAATTTATACTTCCAGCCCATTCACATTCTATATAGATCGACTTTCTAGGAATGGAAGTTAAGTATGGCCTCTGTGTGTTTAGGGTTTAGATGGTGTTGGTTTAGGGTTTAGGGTACAAACATGAGCTAATTTTATGATCATTAAAAGATGAGTGAATAGAAGAAGTTAAATACATCTTATAAACGTTGTTTAATTTCAGATTAAATCAAATCACGAAATTAACACATAATAATTCGTGGTTTGGCCGAGTTATGACAACAACACGGCTGATGTACCACAGAAGAATTCGTGGTTTGGCCGAGTTATGACAACAACACGGCTGATGTACTACAAATGAATTCGTGGTTTGGCCGAATTATTATAACGATATACGGCTGAGTTACTCAGATTAATTCGCCATTAACAAATACATAAAAGAGAATTCATACAAACAATACTACGACTGACAAGTTTTAGCATTATACCCAACTTGTTTACATCGAGAACATACATGTTGCTTCCTAGGGCGTTTGTTTCCAATGGCAACTTCCAAAGATGATTTAATCCTAATTTTCTTGGGCCTTCCTGGCTGGTTTACAACAATCGGAGGCAAGCACGGTTGGTTAACTACAATTTGAGGAACAGGGATTGCCGTATCGGAAGGCATGATTGGAGCAGCGTATGCGCTAACCAAGTAACTTCTCTTATAGTAAGGACTGCACAGGGATATACGAGACACACCCATATGCTCTCCAGCTGCGATTGCATGTATGCATGGTAATTTCTCGTGGTCGAAACGACGACATGTGCATTTTTTAGCATCCACATTTACAATATGCAACTGTGTTCCATAAGTTACCTGCACGCGTAAAGCATCAATCGTTTGTACACCCATAAGTCTTGCCGCGGTGACACGGGCCTATTAGAGGGGAAAAAAAACAATATACGTTAAGTCTGATTTATGGAAATAATGTCTAGTTTAAGAACGTTTGACGACTGACTTATGTAAGCAGTTACAGCTGAGTTACCTGTAACAGTTTTTCAACACCTCGTGAGAGCGTTGTTTGCTGCGAATTCGCGTCCTTTCTCCGTTCAGCAAACCATCTGGTCATCATAGTCCGTATCGATTCTAACAGTCGAACTATGGGAAGGCTTCTGGCCTTTGACAGTGTTTTGTTCATTGATTCCGCAATATTAGTAGTCATTAAATTGTACCTTTCACCCGGTAAATGAACACGTGCCCACATTTGGACACCAGCTCGTTGGAGGTATCCATGTAGGTTTTGATCAGACGCTTCAATCTCATTGAACGCCTCATTAAAATCACTCAGCCTAAAACACCTTGCCGCTTTTTTCACCAAAGGGAACAAATGTTTTCCTTTGAATTTCACCAAAATGTTCTTATACAAATGGTAAGTGCAAATTCCACGAGAAGCCAACGGAAACACTTCACCAATTGCTTTCCCTATTGACTTATGTCTGTCCGAGATTATCGCAAGATCCTTATCGTCAGGGATAACAACTTTGAGTTGCGTAAAAAACCAACGCCAAGAATCATCATTTTCGGTGTCAACAATACCGAAAGCTATTGGATAAATCTGAAAATTACCATCCTGAGCTAGGGCTGTTAGATGGGTCCCTTTGTAACTTCCATGGAGAAACGTACCATCGACAACAACAACTTTGCGCATGAAAGGAAACCCAGCAATACTGGCACCAAAAGCAATGAACACATAGTTGAATCTTCCTTCCTCATCAAGTTGAAGACGCGTGACTGTACCCGGATTTGCCCGTCTTATCATGTATAGGTAAGAAGGCAGTTCTTCAAAACTACTCTTAGGAGTTCCCTGATCGATCTGCCTTACATACAGGAGCGTCCTATGTGACTTCCAATAACCCATCTGTTGACACCAACATATCGTAACTATAAGTCAGCCGTAATACATATAACTCAGCCACAATGTAAACATAAGTCAGCCGTAATATATAAGTCAGCCACAATGTAAACATAAGTCAGCCGTAATATATATAAGTGGTAAACTATAAGTCAGCCGGAATGTATTCATAAATCAGCTAAGATGAGAAAAAGTCAGTCGTATAGTAATCAATAGGTCAGTCGCCACACAGTAATTACCTTTATTCTAAAATGCTTATTGATAATTACTCCGACTGATTTAGGTTTAACATCCGGACCAACGTCACCAAGAAAGTCCCTGTAAAGAACTCCCAAAACATCAGGTGTTGCTTGTCGGGATCGATTAGAACGGTCCGTTACAGAACATGTGTGTTCTGAATCGTATATACGAACATAAAAATGTGGCTCATCCCCTTGTGTAGATGCACGAACTCTCCATCGACATTCATCAACCCAGCAAACAATATTCACTGCGGTCGGATTTGATACTGGTACATTAAAATCAAATCCATCTCTTACCGCAAGAAGTTTGAGTCGATACACCAAATCTTCTTTGCTCCGGTATCGTTGACCTACAGCGAGGTTTAGCGAAGACAACTCCAACCTTAAAGCCTCCGAGTTCCCAGCCGATCCGGCCATTTCAATGTTCTGAGGTTTCTTCTTAGGAGGCAGAGACGGTGAATCTTCGTCTTTATTCTGAGGATCGCCGTATACAGTAAAGTTATCATCATCAGATGAGGCACCATCGGAGTCGTCGAAAACATCAAATCGGCTTGAAAATTCATCATCTTCTTCTTTGTCATCTGCTTCTTGGTCACCTGCTTCTTGGTCACCTGCTTCTTCGTCTTGATTTTCACTATAATCATAACAGAAACCTTCAAATCCACCATCGGGAACTTCGTATCTAGATTCTAATTTTGAGCCAGAACTGGATGGCCGTTTCATCCTTCCTCTCGATCCGTCCTTCCGACTAATTTCCATATACTCTTTCACCGTAAATTCCACACAGAGACGTAGTTGATCGATTTTCCATAGGCTTAGAAAACATTGCAACTGTCAATCATTGGAGACATAAACTGGTGGAGTATCAAGCGACATATTTTTTATAGCCTTCTTCGAGAACATGTAGCTCAGCTTTAACTGATGGCTCAACTCATTCAATCCGTAGTCATCGAGCACCAAATTCACAAGCTTGTCGTGCGTTGTTTCCGCATCTATCTGCACAACTCTACACCCTTTATCGTCGGTGTTAAATACGAATTTGTGTTTCTTTACCCAATTACCGGAAACAACCATTACCGGAACCGGATCAGTCATATCGGGGTAAGGAAGAACGAAAATGAAGAAGTAAGACGATGACGAGTCAAGTGAAATTTAAGTTCCAGAGATGTGAAAAAACACAGGTGAAGATCGACATAATGAAGAAGAAGATGAGTAGTAGAAAAGACCTTTTGTATTTCCCTTGATGATGATGACATGGAATGATGACATGGAATATTGCATCCGACGTCATTTTTTTAATTGATGAAGTGGCAAGTAAGCCACCAAACGAAAATGTTAATCAACCGAATTAAACCAGCCATCAAACAAAACTTTAACTCAGTCGCAACATGCATACTATTACAGTAATTAAAAATCGAAAAAAATGCAGCCAAATTCAACCGTTTAATGTCGTAACTCAACCGAAAATCTTTAACTCAGCCGTATCGTTTGATAAGTCGGCCGTAATTGCAAGCTATTCTAGTAATTAATCTTTCGCTACTAAGTCAGCCGTAATTGGGCCGAGTTTTCCATTAACTTAGCTCATTACGGCTGATTTATGACACTAGAGGCTAAATCAGCCGTAACGACATCACATAACTAGGCCGTCTTTGATAACTCAACCAACCGGAAAAAGTTAACTCAGCCGTGTCGAAGCAATAACTCAGCCAAAATTTTGACAAATCAACCAACGGGTGAAATCTCAGCCGTAACTTAGGCTGGGTTATGCTCGAAAGTCAGCCATTTTCTCATAACTCAGACCGACTTCATTAACTCAGCCGTAACTAATGTCTGAGTTATACTCGTAAGTCAGCCGTTTGTTCATAACTCAGTCATTTTCCATAAATCAGCCGCTACTAACCGTAACTCAGCCGTCACTGCCGCTGTATCGCTTTACGGCTGAGTTCATTAATACACGTCAGCGATTTCTGACGTGGCGACGCAGCTTTGCTGACATGGCAGTGGCATTCTTTGTAATTACGTTTTTTCATGTAACGTTTAACAGGGGCAAAACAACTGGATGGCCGTTTGTATAAAAAATATACCCGAAATATGATAGTAATAAAAAAAAGATCTGTATGTTTCTGGTAATTTCATATAAAATGTTATACATCTGAGTAAAGTTCCCTTGTTTTTATATGGCAACGTCGTGGGTCCATCGTATATCTTCAAATCATGAACATGACATTGGACGACATATATTTAACAAATAAGAAAATACAACAAATAGCTTTCTGACTTCTGCTAAAGAGACAAAACTAGCTAGGTATAAGAAGAAACTCTGTGATTGTGTCGATCTTGGTAGGCCAGTGCTCCATATCTATATTTGATGTAACCAAATTGCTTGCAAACAATTAGTCTCTAGCAGAAGTCAGAAATCTGTTTGTGACTTCCACAATTCAGATTAACAGTTTGTACTTTGCACAGCCTGGTTCACCTATTTCAGGCTGGTTCAAGGTTTGTGGTTTTCTTACCCACAATTTTTTCTTTCTTATCCACTTATTACAGTATTATATTTGTCCTGAAACTATTTTTCTTTATTCTCAATCTTAATAGTAAAGTCGTAATAATAGAAACAGACACTACAGGAAATGTGGGTATTGATAGCACTAAAAGATAGTGGTTTTTATGTCTCTGTTATGTTTGACTTGATCATGATTTAAAGATAGTGTTTTTTGAATTGTAAACGCTATAGATGATTTAAGCGGGACATGCTGAAATTGACGCGGCCAATTTTCGGGTTACTAAAGTTTAATTCCCGCTATTGAATCTGTTAAGAGGGAAAAATATGAAATTTTGGCTAAGGCAAAATAAATTAAAACAAGAAACATCACTTTTTCATTTTTTTCTTAAGGCAAAATAAACTTCTTCTCTCTCGATTTCTCACAGTCAACAACACATCTCACTTGATTTCACTCGAATTCTCACAATCTGCAACTCAATCTCAGTCGATATCTCTCGATCTCCAACAGGTATGTTCATATTCAATCGTAGCAAATCTATCTTCGTCTCGTTCTCTGAATGTCAATCTCGATCCTCTTATGTGTAGTCTCAATCTGTATCAATTTCTCGTTCAATTCAGCATCTCGTTCGATTCAGTCTCTATTGTTTTTTCTTAATTTCAGTCTAGTACTTCGATCTCTGTCTCAATCCTTCATTGTCACTTTTCATCGATCTTCATCCGTGTAAGTCGAATTTGACATTTACGGTGACATTGTGTTTGGGTTTTGGGTATTTGTCTCATGTAAAGTTTTAATTTACATCGATGAATTTTTTCTTTTGCAGGAAGAGCTTGGTGAAACTTCTGTTGAAGGTTTATGACTTTCATTTTGATATATCAATTTTAATGTTTTGGTAAATAATTGATATCTAATTGATCTCTGTGTGACTGTTCTTGACTTCTTGCAACTGAGTTACGCTCATGAGAATAACTGAGTTACATGTTTTGGCAAGATGTCGCTTGCCTGTGATCTTGTGGTGTCATCCAGGTAAAAATACACCGGTTGTGGTACTTCCATTTGTACTTCGTTTGTATAGCTTCCACATTTACATGTTGCTGTTTTTTTATCTTTATTGCAGGAAGTGGAGATGTGATTGCCCGCTCATCACAACCTTTATTTGGTTTGATGATGAACATGAGGAGGTATATCAAAGTTATTTTATGACCAGATTTTTCATGATAATTTAGTTTCTTATTTGGGTAGGAGAAAAAGATACTCGCTTGTTTCATATGTGCAAGGTGGTTAAATATTGATACTTTGTTTTGATCTCATAGGAAGCTTTATATCGTAGATGCACTTTAAGTATGTTCTTAGGTTCTTCTCTTTGGCAAAGTCTGCATTTTTTGTTTTGGACTGTTTTTTTATTAGTGCGATTAACATAGACTTTCATGTTTTTACGGGAAGCAGCAAAAGAACAATGATTGTAGAGGAATGGGATTAGTATTTAGCCAAGTTTTGGCAAGTTGTACTGCCGACTGAAAAAGACACACCTGAGGCTAACTCCGACCACATCCTGTAGATTTTGTAGAATGGAAGAAAAGTTCAATCCTTTTTGTAGAGTTTTAGGTCTTCATTATTATTTTTGTTCAGTCTTGATAAAGTTGTGGAGCTAAATTATCAGTGGATTGCATTTGATGATGTTTGTTACCATGTTCAGGTGAAATTTTTCACTCTTAAGATTTGTATAAGATCCATATGCTCTTGTTCAGTTTTCTGATTTTATGAGTTTGTTTGATAGGTGAAAGTGAAGAATCCAAACCTCTTGTTGCTTGTGGTTTCGTTACCAAATCCACCACCTGAAGCAATGTCCTTTGATGGACTTCCATTAGGAGCTATAGAAGCCATTAAAGCTACTTACATGACTGGTTTTCAAGAGGTTGAAGTATTGTCTCATATCACATGGAAACCCAAATGGGGAATGATCTTCTCTGATATCAAAAAGAAAGTCAGCAGGAACTGCGAGGTCTCTCAGGGATCCACGATGGCTATTACAATTAGTTTAAGTGTCGAACACTTTGTGTTTTCTTTTATTACATGCACTTGACTTTGTTTTCTTATGTTACTAATGGCATATGTTTTCTCTTGGTAAAAATATATCTGAGAATGCAAACACAAATACACAAACTTAAAACATCTTAACTGGAAAAAAATTGAATTAATTATTTTATGGCATGTACTTTAGGTTTCAAGTTAAATGATTTTTAGGATTTTAAGATTTTGGTTATGATTTTCGAATTTTGTAAAAAAAAAAATAAAGGAAAAAGAAAGAAAAAAAATATAACCAAATATCTCAAAAAGACACAAATATTTAATTATAATATTAATAATTATATAAATAATAACAAAGTTATAATTTTAAAGAGTTTAGGGTATAGGGTTTTGGATTATATTTGTTTGAAATAGTAATAATATTAATTATAACAAATAATAACATAAATAAAATTCATTTTTAAAAATAGTTTAGGGTTTAGGGTTTAGTTTTTGGGTATAGGATTTAGGGTTGGAAGTTCAATCTTGAAACATATTTCACTTTTTATAAATTAACAAAATAAAATGCAATGAAATTATTTTAAAGTAATAATACTTGAGTAAACAAATCTAAACCCCAAAGTTTAAACCCTAAACCCTAAACTATGCCTTAGTGTTTATGGACATATAAGTTAGATAAGTTGGAATACTAACCTATATTAGTTGTTCTTAATTTTAAAATTTTATATAAGCAAAAATATTCTAAAAATTGAAATACTTATCTTGAATTTTTATAGACATAATTTCTATTTTTTTCATTAATAAACTATTTTATATGATACTTTTCTGATTTTTTCATTACTAGCCAATGAGAAGTAACCTCCCAGATTGTGGGACGAATCCTACACCGTTAGATCGCGCCGATTTTGATCTCAGCCGTCCATTCTTATTGTTGACGCGATTAATGTACACCGTTGATCTGTCTTGATAACTTTGATCTGAGCCGTTCTTTTTCTTAGCCAATGAGCATTAACCTCTGAGATTGAACTTTGGCTTATTCGCCACCATTGATGAATTAAATCCAACGGTTAAGATTTTCTCCTTGTTTTGACTCTTCGTATCCTTCTCTTATGTGAAAATCAAACAGTTGGCTTCCCGTTCACATCTCCGATCAGTGGAGGTCCTGGAGGATATAGAAGGTGGCGGTGAGGACATCTTCGAATTTCTTTTCCGGCTCGCGAGGCGAAGGTGGCTACTTCTATTGATTCCGAGCTGTTAGAGGACGGAGGCTCAAGGCAGATTTCAGTCGTGTATTTGGGTTTATGGGTTCCGTCATCTCTGTGACGGATATTGAGCGGCAGATCTCGCAGCTGAGGGTGGTGACAGCGAAATCAATTCTCCGGTTGCGTCGGTTAAGCTTATGTGGTTAAATCCGGTGTTTTAGATCTGCATTTGTCGGGATTAACGAAATCCGGACAATCTCCGGTGGTTAATTGGGTTAGGTCCGTTGTGGCTGAGGTTGTCGGCAGTTAGCTAATGATGCTTATGATTTGGTTTTTGTTTCAGCCTAAGCAAATTGTTGGGGAGTTATAACATGATAATTGTTTGATTGGCAGCTCCGAGATGGATCGTCGCACCAGGGTACTGTAACATCAATGGAACCGAATGAAGGCACTTTCGTTCTTCACACTGAAAACACTAAGGTAAAGATTCTTACTTTGTTTTATCTTAAACAACAAGTGCAGATGATTGTGATGGGATGGACTAACACATTACCAAACCACGTCATGTGCTTTCTCTATGCGACAGAAAGGAAAAATCAATCCTGTTCATCTTGTTGATGTTCCTGGGCACTCTCGGCTTCGACCCAAGCTTGAAGAATTCTTGCCCCAAGCAGCTGCCATTGTGTTTGTAGTGGATGCCTTGGAGTTCCTCCCAAACTGTCGTGCAGCTTCAGAGTAATTTTAAACCCTCTCTTTCTCTCCCACACACACATACATAAAAGACATGTTTGCATCTCACTCTTGAAAAAATGTTTTTTCCGGCAATAGGTACCTATATGATATTTTGACCAATGCGAATGTTGTCAAGAACAAGATTTCAGTCCTCCTTTGCTGTAACAAGACAGATAAACTCACTGCACACACCAAGGAGTTTATTCGAAGCAGATGGAGAAAGAAATGTAAGATTTTCAATTTTCATGGCAAATTATATATAAGCCAATCTTGCTGGATAAAAGCTAATCATCATTATTGGTTAAATGAGTTTATGCAGTGAGAAATTGAGGGCTTCTAGGAGTGCGGTATCTAAAGCTGATATAGCGAACGACTTCTCCTTCTCGCATTGCTACAACAAAGTCATTGTAGCTGAGGCATCTGGACTCACCGGAGAAAACGTCCAGATCCAAGACTTCATTCGAGAATACATCAAGCCTTGAGCTCAAACGTGCATTAATAGATTGAATCTACGACTAGATTCTTATGCCTTTGGTCTGTGACTTTGATTTGAGTTTAGTGATCCTTTTTGTATATGAGTTCTTTGTTTGCTCATTGTGGTTCTAAAAGATAGGAGACAGAGGAGGAAGATGAAGATAGAAGACATAGGGGTAGATGAAGATAGGAGATTTATCGATCTTGTATATTTTTATTGATGTAGTATTTTAATGAAGGTTTTTGTATATATTTCATGTAATAATGATAATAAAATATTGTATTTTTTTATTTTATTTTTGATTTAAATACAATTAAAATCATTAACAAAAATAAAAATATTGTAAAAAATATATATTACTGAAATAATTAATCAAATATAAATATTACAGAAAAAACAAATTATGAAAATAGGTACAACCCAATCATAATGATTATTACACGTTATTATAAATATTAATAATAGCAGCGTCTTAAACGCTATCGTTGTATACTTAACTATTGCACAACGCAAAACCGCTATCAAAAGTGTCCGACTTTCTATAACGGACGATGTCAGAGCGCTTAAGAAAACGCTATGGTAGATGAATAATTGCGTTTTTCGGCCACTATTAATACCCACATTTCCTGTAGCGAGATTTCTCATTAGTTTGTGTTATATATATATACACACATCTATATAATATTCCTATTTATGAACTGATGGTAATGGTAGGTAAACAAAAACAAAATTTGATTTAGAAAAGTATTATATTCGTAATAATTACTGCTGAGGTGGTAGACGAACGTAATAGAGTTGAATACAAGTTTGAAAACCCCCCTTTCACGCTCAGGCATCAACATCTGTAATATCTGTAAGTTACTTGTTAGCTTAGCATATGTTTAATTTTTTCTACGTCACTGGTAGTGTTTTTGATGTAAACAGTTTACATCACGAGTAGTATTTATTATACACGTGTCAACATTATCATTCAAGCATAAACCAAAAATATTATATTCATTTCAGGTTTCGGGTACGGGTCCTTCTTTGCCACTTCGATTCATTTGATGTGTTCATGTGTGTTATTCGATGAATTTGTTATATTCATGTGTGTTATGAAATTTTATAAACCCTACAAGCTTCATTTCTGTTTTTCAGATTTAGAAATCTAACAACAGAAGAGAAGCAACTATTTATTATGCTAGATTGTATAAGAACTTTGTTTCTCCTCGTTTGCTATTTCGTAATTTCTGGTCATATATTCATTTAATTACTTATGGAATACTTTTCCCGAAGCACAAGAGTCAAACGATACTTTACCAGCTATTCCAGATGTTAGATAACTTATTTGGTATAATCTGTTCGTAGCCATTTTTTAAAATTTTCCATTGTTATTTTTCTACTATATATCCTCTTTCAAAGTTACTATTGCAATGATCTCTACATATGGAGTCCCCAAAAATGAACTAAATAGTGACCAAATACTTGTGTTGAGTGTTAATCTTATGCTAATAAAAGAAAAGGTAAACATACTGAATAAAATGTTTTAATATGATTATACCTGATTTTTTATCTGATAGAATTGTACTGAGTGAAACATACTAAATCTTTTAAGAGAAAATTAGCATTGGTACCACATTTGGTCCAAAAGTTATCACTTCTACCAAATTGGAAGCCCAATTATCATTCATACCACATTGTGTTTGTAAAATGACTATTTTACCCTCCAACTGGTGAGATAAGGAACTGCGGTTGATGTGACCCTCCGAAATTTATGCCGTCTTTTTTCTCTCTTCAAGCGCATTGGTAACCGTTTTCGTCCCTCTGGCTGGTAAAAAAAAGTTGTCCCCGAGTAAATCCAGATCTTCGTCTTCGGCTCTCTAGCAGAATAAAATAAAGATCAAGTTGTCCCCGAGTTAATCCAGATCTCTGGCTGATAAAACTACATCATCTGGCGATGGACAATTAAAAGAAGTTCTCTCCGAGTAAATCCAGATCTCTGGCTGGTAAAACCACATCATCAGACAATGGACAATCAAGATCCAGTTGTCACCGATCTAGTTGTCCCCGAATTTAACCCATATCATCTCCTTAAGCATTTTTATTAATTAATTAATTACCTTGACCTACTAATTAATACTTTGTATTATATTTTAAGGTCTAATAATCATTGTCACCATTTAATTAAATAATGATTGTCTCCCAACTTTTTACTATGTTTATTAAAACTAAACATAGTCTCCAAATAATTATTGTCCCCAACTTTTAAATGTAGCTCCTTTTTCTGACACACACCTGACACAACAGAAGGGCAAAATCGTCCACTGTCTACCACAATACTACAAACAAGTGGTACAAGTGCTAAAGAGATTTCCATTATGGTAGAATTACTAAGAAATTTGAAAATTGTGGTACATTTGGCAAAAATCCCATCTTTTAATATGAGTATACCTAAATCTTTAAATAAATTGTTTTGCTACAACGAGTTTAATTAGGTCTCTATATATGTTAAATGCATAGTTTGATAGTATTTGTGGTTGTAACAGTCTAGAAACCATAAAATGAGAATATTTAGTGAATTATACATGCGGTATAACGCTTGGTTATTATTTCAGTGCTATTTTTAGTTTTGTTATCAGTTCTTAACTTTTTTTTTAGAATTTTCATTTTTGGCACTGGTTTCCATACACTAAGCTTTTCTGTGTGAGAAAATTTTCAGTGTTTCGTGGGGAAAAAAGTCTATTTCTTCACAAGAAGTATGACATCATACCAGATAGAGCCCAAATTATGACCACGATCCAGATGTTTCCGAAAAAATACTTTTCAACTTATATCTCCCTAAATCGATAGTTTTCATCTAATTTTCCAGAGATCTCGGTTTAATTGGTTTACTAACCAAATCCGATAAAAACCACTCAAACCGGTACCAAACCACTTGCATGTCAAACCTTCTTCTGATTTAGAGAGTTTTAATAATCAAAACAAATAAAAAAATTAAAAAAAACAAATGACAAAATTACATCCTTTTCTTCGTCTTCTTCATTATTCCCCTTCTCATTCCAGACTATGCTTATTTGGAAAATTAGTGCATGTCTCTCTTTGATTGTTATGATGGATTTCAGGTTTATTTTGAAGATCGATGAGAGATTCTGCAGAGAGTTTACAATTCACAAAACAACAATCTAATTAGACAAAATCAACATCTCAATTACTAAATCTGTTTTATCGAATTCTCATCCGTCTCCAGAGCCGAATCGAAGGAAACGTCAACTAGCTCCGTGCCCAGATTGAGAAATCTAACCCTGTGAACTCGAATCTGAATGTTCCGAGGGGAAGAAGAAGAAGAGATCTTATGATACTAATTTTGACATTCTTATGATACAGATGAGCATAGTTCCCTGAATCGATTTGAATTGGATTCATAATTGAATTTAAAATTTAGGTTCATAATTGAATTTTGAATTTGGGTCCATCAAAACACAAATCGTATTTTGATGCTGGCGATGAAGAAGGAAGAAGGAAGAATGGAGGAGAAACCACGTGTTTTTATATAAAAAATTAATAAAAATTCATTTCTTTATTTATTTAATTTTTCAAATTTGGTTTTCTTTGGTTATAATTGGGTTTAGTTTCTTTAGTAATCGGTTAAGTAAACAGTAAACCGACAAAACCAAATTTTATGGGTTAATAGATCTAAAACAATTAATTCGGGGAGATTTAGATATCGAATTTTCGTTTCAGGGAGAAATAGATATAGAACTGTTTTTTCATGGGTAAATATCTCGTGATCATAGTTTGGGCTATATCTATTACGATGTCATACTTTTCGTGGGGAAATAGACCGTTTTTCCGTGTTTGGTGTGACAGTGTAAAATTTTGGAAGACCGACAAAATCTTTTTTCCCCAACTCAAAGGTGAAATTGTTTTAAAGGAGGAACATGACAAGATACTGATCCGCGTTATTTCTAATTAAGGACCCTTTAAAGAAAATGCTTACTTGAAACATTTTTCTCTTGCTTGCTTATATGTTGTTTACTTCTTGAAACTTGTTAAATGTAGGCATGGATATGAAAAATGGATGGTCATGGTAAGGAATTCTTAAGAAATAGTGAAATACAGTTCTTTGCGGATATGAACTCAGCATACATTGTTGCTCTCCTCACGCAAAAGGCTTATTTCCTTTCTTCTTTATCGTTGTGTTTTGTGTTTTATGTTGAATTTCTATTTTCGAATTCTTGCTATATTTCCTTTTTTTTTTAAGTAGTTAGGTCTAGCCTCCTCTATTTAATTGTTGCTAAAGTTTCTTTGTTATTCAGTTTTGGGAAAAATGGGTTAAAAAACCCTCACCTTTCTTAAAAACATAGAAAAAACCCTCAATTTTTTTTGTGGGTTTTTAAACCCCCACCTTTTCATAAATGCTAAAATAAACCCTAGTATTAATAATCTTAATTTAAATTCAAAAAAATCGTTATACTAAAACATAAATAGATATAAACAATTTGATTTAGTGTTTCTTCTAAAATTCTAGCTTACAATATTATTCTAAACTGAAAATATGAAAGTCATGATGTAAAAAATTTAATTAGTAAAGTTTTATTCGGTTTGTTACAAAAATTCATCAAGGTGAAACCAAACAGATTTTGTTACGAATTATATGTAAATTCTTATATCGAAACCGAATATGAGTTTATATTAATAAAGGTTTATTAGGTTTGATCACACAAATTTACTAACGTAAAACAAACCAAATTTATAATACTATGAAAAGTACATGAATTTCCTCATCAAAATATTTTCAGTGGACAAACTAAATAAGATTTACTAACAATTAATATATATATATATATATATGATTATTAAAATATAATACAAATTATAATTAATTAATCATTATTTAACCATATTTTATCCAAAAGCTGAACACTCGAATAAAAAAAATTCAAATGTGATATCCTATAAATTTTTGTAGTTTATATAACATAACTTCTAATTGTAACAAAAATAATTTGCCTAATCTCAACTAAATGGTGAAATGTTCATAGCGCAAAAACCCTAATTTTAGAAAAAAAAACTGTAAACTCGAATTGGAAAGATAAAATCATAAATTAAATTGTTTGTGTTTCTTACTGTTTTAATATAATGATTTTTTAAAAAAAATTAAATTGAGTTTATTAATATTAGGGTTTATTTAACCATTTATAAAAAGGTGAGGGTTTAAAAACCCACAAAAAAATTTGAACATTTTTTCTATGTTTTTAAGAAAAGTGAAGGTTTTTTTACCCATTTTTCCTCAGTTTTGAGTTTTGAATCTCTTTTCTTCTTTGTTTTGATTTGATTAATTTCAGCCATATGGAAAGCTTCATCTTCGGTATTCCAGAACTCAGCTTATACTGGTTAGTTTTCATCACCATAATTAGGGATAATTCTAATATTTCTACTGTTCTTATTATATTGTTAGCCTCTTTTTTTATTTTTAGCTAATCTGTGATCTTTATTTACTTGAGCTAATAGTCTTATAGAAGCTTAATCATAAAATATGAGAAAAGTCATAATCATTCAATGATTTCATTAGTTTATAAGAAACTTGCAGAAACAAACATCTTTTATCCAGAAGTCAATAAAATTAACATATTTATGCTTCTTCATATGATTAACTTCTTTCGTACTTGTCTTTTTTTTTTTTTCGTTTTTTTTGCTCTGTTTTCTACAAATTTTTTAATTTTATTTTCCTATTTATGGGTTTACTGGAGCAGATAAAATGTGAATGTTAGAAAAAAGGGTCAAAAAGATATGATCATGACCTGGTCACTCATTTGTTAGCGGAAGTCAAGAGAATTGAAATCACCACATGAACAGCTCCCTCAACGGCTCCTTTTCGTATTTAAAAACTGACCATTTCCTAAGAGAACTTGTGTGACTTTTTAGCGTTTTGGTACGTAAACGTAATTGAAAGTTTTATTTTTTCTTACTGGAATCAAATCATTTGATGTTCTGTTTTCATGTTCTTGTAGGAATAAAGATTATAGTCAATTCGTATCATTTTAAGTAGCTTTGCATCTAGTTAATCAATCAATCTTCTATGGTTTACAAGTTTTTTTTTCAGATTTCGAAATCACACAACCATGGCAACGAGAAAGAAGACGTCATCATCAGCATCATCATCAAAGCTGCCAGAATGGTCTCTTCTACCGGAGGAGTTACTTCAAATTGTGTCCAAAAATGTGGAGAACTGTTTTGATGTTGTTCATGCTCGGTCGGTTTGCAACTCGTGGCGATCCTTATTTACCTTTCCTTCTTGCCTATTACGCCCAAGTTACTCTCTTCCCACATTCGACGAGTTCACTCTTGAAAGCAAAGACTTGTGCACCTTCGAGAAGGTCCCTTTGTTCGTCTTTAGAGTCAAAACTCCTGCTGCTTCTACGTCGCCTTTTGAGTATTTTCTAGGAGGCATAGGCCGAGATGATCATATGGATCGTCCATCTCCCCTTCAATGTTCAGTGAAAGTGGAGATCCCAGGATTTGATTCAACCTTGATGAACATGCTAGATTGCCAGATCCTCTCTCTAGGCCATCAGTATAGATTGATCGGTTGGGAACCTAAAGATTACAAAGGCGTGGCTTTTCTTCCGCTTAACAAGGAGGGAAGAGAAGGGGAATTCGTTGTGATTCTCAATTACACTAACGTTTTGATGGTGTTAACAAGTGCGGAAATGAAGTGGAAGCGGCTTGAGAATGTCCCATATGCTATATGCTCGGATTTAGTCACTTTTAGAGGAAGATTTTATGCATCCTTTCTTAGCAGAAATACTTTCGTTATCGATCCTTATTCGCTGGAGGTGACTCTCCTGATTCCCTCACCTCATAAGCAACTAAACTATCTGGTTGCATCTGGCAATGATGAACTCTTCTTGGTTGAGGTAACCATCCCAAATTTTGAGGTAATAGATTTTAGCCGGTTCACATGCATAGTGAGTAGGCTAGATGAGGAGGATAGTAAATGGATTGAGGTCACCGATTTGGGAAACCGTGTGTTTTTTATTGGACACTTTGGAAATGTCTCTTGCTCGGCTAAGGAACTTCCTGATGGTTGTGGTCTGAGGGGGAACACAATTCTGTTCACCAATGAGCCAACTTTTGCTTATAAATATGAAGTAGATACTGGAAGCGCGGGAGACGATCTCAATTGTTGGAGATCCACAAGGGAGAATCGTGTTTCGATCCTCAATACATCTCCGGTTTTGGCTCTCCAAGTTGAGCGCTAAGCCGAAAATTAAATCTCGCTTTGGATACCTTAGTCATTATGTTGGTTAATTTTGTTTTTTTTTTTATTAGATAATATACAAACTTTCCATTGATAGACTTTGTGATCTCTGATGTTACCCATTGTTCTGGAGTTTTTGTCTTGTGTCAAGTCGATATGCTCAAGACCAGATCTTTCGGTGTTCAAGTCTTGATATTTTTTTTTTGTTTTAAAATATTTCCCACAACCTTGTCAACACAACACAACCATGTCTCTCTGTAAATAAAAGTGTGGCTTGGTATCACACGGTCATGTATTTGACCAAAGTTTTTCCATTTTGCAAAAACTTTAAAAGAAGTATGTTTTCTACACAAAATCATATTGAAACTTGAACTTCTTATACATATTTTGCCTCTGACCCAAGTGTTCCAAGCCATCTTTCATGGTTACAAGCTTATGGGCCATGTATATCTCTTATTTATGCCTTGGAGCCAAAGTTGTTGAGCCACACAGGAGATATAAACAGCTTCAGGAAACTATGATCAGTGGTACTTTGATAACGCAATCTTGTTAGTGTACTTGCATGTCTACTACGTGTGTTCAATTGTCCTACATTTTTAACATTATATTACTTTTAGCAAACAAAAACGCAGAGTTTTGTTTAGGTAGAGAATTATAGACCTATAATATTTTTTTTTTTTTTTTTGTCAACAGCTTTATTTGATTGGCTCAAATTAGCCAATGTGTAGGAATATTGTTTACATAAGTAGAAAGATGAGGTAAGGTACGAACATTTCGTGCCAATTTATCCGCTTTCATATTCAAATTTCGGGAAATTAGCGATAAAGAAGAAAAATCAAACTCTTCTTTGTCGCTCTGAATCGCCTCCAAGTAAGTCGTGAACGTTGGCCACTCTTGCGGGGAAGACACCATCTTCACCAGGTCGGAGCAGTCTGAAAGGAAAACTACTTCTCTTTTGTCTTGGCCGATCATACATCTCATCGCCCAGATTAGTGCTTCAACCTCTGTGTGGAGTGAGGTCAAGCTTCTTCGAGTATTTGCAGCTCCCATGTCGTGCGTTTCTTCATTTGGATAAGAACAAAACCATCCTAACCCTGAAAAACAGTCGCTTTCTTTCCAAGAACCATCTAAGCAACAACGATAAACTGATCCACGTTGCTCGATATGTTCAACTCTAGAAGGAAGTTGAATATTTGTTACCACCGTTTTTATGTTATCATCCGAAATCTCTACCTGGGCCAACTGCCATGCTTGCTCTTCATTTTCTGCCAATCTTAAAATATACGTTGGGCTTTGGTCCAAATTATTAAATACCTTGTCATTCCTGGCTTTCCACAAATACCAAATAATCCATGGAAACATCGCAGTATAGACCTCTGAGGGTGTTCTCCAGAATAAGTAATCCATATTAACGTATAGGGATCCTGATGGAAAAATATCAGGTGCTGTTGGAATCTGTGATAAAGCCCAAGTCTGACGCGCAGGAGGACATTCAAAGATTGCATGGTTAATTGTCTCTTCCGAAGCCCCACACCGATCACATCTCGTATCGCAATTAATACCTCTCTTACGCAGATTCGAGGTAACCGAAACACACCCAGTTAAGGCTTGCCACATAAAATGTTGAACTTTTGGCGGACATTTTATTTTCCAAGTAAATGCTTGAAGCGGTTTAATGTCTGGTCCGAATTCATGCAAAACGGAATCCATCCCAATGTTTCTTAAACGGAATCCACACCTATAAGATTTTTTATTAATGGATGAGTTTCTTTTTCATTAATAACTTTAGTTGCTCTGTTTTTCTAATGAAAATCGCAATTATTTACTAGTGGAAACAATTAGGCTAAATGAAAATAAGAAAATGTTTTCTTATGACAAAAGCGAAAAAAAAAATATTGGACGACGTCGGTTAACAACTTTATGTCACTGAGATTTTAGGGTTCGAAACTTCTAATCCTCGAGGGTTTGGGTACGGACTCTTAGAATCTCATAAACCCTAAACATTTTAATTTTCCCATTCAGATTTCAAAATCGCAGCAATCAGCAAAAATGGCAGACCATGAATGTGTAACAATTCTTATTCTCCTTGTTAGTATATAGTAGTTTCTAGGTTATTGTAGTGTTTATGAAGGTAGCTTTACATTTAAGATATCGATTTCCTAAAACTATTTTGCTAACCCTATACATTGTAATTTTGTCCCTCTAGGTTTCGAAATTGTCCATACCAGACTGGTCTCTTCTCCCTAATGAGTTATTGGAAATCGTCTGCAGTAATTATTGCAAAACATTGAACAAGTGTTTCGATATTGTTCATGCTCGTTCCGTTTGCCGCCTGTGGCGATCAATCTTCCCCTTTCCTTCTTGCCTCTTACGCCCACGTGACTTTCTTCCCACGTTCGTCTATTACCCTTACCTAAGCAGAGAATTATGCACCCTCGAGAAGATCCCTTTGTTCCTCTTTAGAGTCAAAACTCATGCTACGTCGACTTCTAAGTATTTTCTGGGAGGAATAGGCCGAGACGAGTCAAAGGATCATATGGAGCTTCTTCCATCTCCTATTCAGTGCTCAGTGAAAGTGACGATCCCAAGATGTGATCCAACCTTGATTAAAATGCTAGACTGCCAGATCATCCCTCTTGGCCATCAGTACAGAATGATTGGTTGCAATCCTAAAGACTACAAAGGCGTGGCTTATCTTCCGCTAAATAAGAAGGGAAAATTCGTTGTGCTCCTCAATTACACTAAAGTTTTGTTGGTGTTAAGAAGTAGAGACAAGATATGGATGCGGTTTAGTAACATCTCAAAGGCTTCATGCGATTATTTAGTGGCTTTTAGAGGCAGATTTTATGCATCCTTTCTTAACAGGGACATTTTCGTTATCCATCCTTATTCGATGAAAGTAACTCCGCTTATGCCCTTGCATCATTTGTACCCTGATTCACACATTTATCTGGTTCCATCTGGCAATGATGAGCTTTTCCTAGTTGAGCGCATCATTATCCCAAGTAATGGTGTTGGTGTATTGGATTTTAGTCGGTTTACATGTAGAGTGTGTAGACTTGACGAGGAAGCTGGTAAATGGGTCGTGGTCAGCGATTTGGGAGATCGTGTATTGTTTATTGGAGAGTTTGGAAATACCTCTTGCCCGGCTAAGGAGCTTCCAGATGGTTGCGGTGTGAGTGGGAACTCAATTTTGTTCACCAATGGGCCAGGAAATGTATCTTTCTTTTATAAGTATAGATTAAGTTCAGAAAATGTGAAAGACGACCTCAGTCTTTTGAGATTCTCAAGAGAGAATCGTGTGATAATTCGTAACAAGTCTCCTCCGGTGGTGGCTCTCCATGTTGAGCACTAAGCAGTTAAATCTTACTTTGGATACTTGAGACATTTTATTGGTTTTGTTATTTTTACATTTTGTGATCTCTGATGTTACACCCATTGTTCTGGAGTCTGTATCTTGTGTCACAGCGATATGTTGAAGACTAGCTAGATCACTGGAATTTTTAACTTTTTGTAATATCTTTGTTCTAACATTTCACTCACGACCTTCTCAAGACCACGCACCTTTATATATGGAAATGATCGTCATATATGTTGGAATATTTGAGACTATCACGTGAGCATGTGTTCGACCAGTCCTCTCCACATACAATTAATATGCAGCATATGCGCAATGTTACTTAAACAACTATATTCCTCTGTTTCATATTTGTGGAATTGTAGTCTCTGTTTATTTAAGAGTTAGTCAATTCGGATATCGGGATTAATTTGTAATTAGTTCTTTCAGATGGCAAATATGGCAGAACCTGCAAAGGAACAGAAGCAATCATCCATTATGCTAGATTCTATAAGAAGCCTTTTACTCTCTGTTTTGTTTTTCTTGATTTGGTGTTGGATATTTCTACTTGGAATTTTTTTATTTGATTCTCAATTTCGGATGTCGTTTGGTGAAATGAAGATTTGAATAAATCATATATAACTTAGTTCTCAGGATTGATAGACCGTTAAATCTTCATGTTTTAGTCCTCTCTTAACACAATTTAGTTAAACCCTATGAATGAATTATTTTTGTTGTAGGTTTCGAAATCCCAGCCTGCAAAGAAAATACACAAATCTTCAATGTTCAATGAAAGTGAAGATAGCTAGATCTGATCCAACCTTGATCAACATGCTCGACTGCCAGATCCAGATTAGTGTGGCTTTTCTTATGCGAAACAAGGACGGAGGAGAAATTGTGGTGTTCCTCATGCAGCTTAAGAAAATCTCAAATTCATCATGCCATGATTTAGTCACTTTTAGAGGCAGATTTTATGCAGTCTTTCTTAACGGGAACATGTTTGTTATCGATCGGTATTCATTGGAAGCAACTCCCTTTATACCCTCATAAGTTATGCAATTATCTGGTTTCATGTGGCAATGATGAACTTTTCCTCGTTGAGAAAATTATTGTGGTGTGTTAAATTCTATGCGGTTAACATGCAGAGTTAGTAGGCTAGATGATGAGGCTGGTCAATGGGTTGAGGACCTGAGGTCAACGATTTGGGAGACCGTGTGTTCTTTATTGGACGTTTGGGAAATATCTGGTGCTCGGCTAAGGAGCTTCCTGATGGTTGTGGTGTGAGTGGTAACTCAATTCTGTTCACCAATGGGCCAGAAAATGTAACTTTATTTTATATATATGGAGAACATACAGGAAACGCAGAAGACGACCTCAATATATTGAGATCCACTAGAGCGACCCGTGTGATAATCCTCAACAAATCACCTCCAGTTGTGGCTCTACAGGTTGAGGGCTAAGTGGTTAAATTTGACATTTTGTTGGTCTTGTTCTTAATATATCTATCTGATTTTAGGTATAAAGTTTGTAATCTCTGATGTTATTACATATTGTTGCAGAGTGTGTAATCTCTCTAGTGTCACGCTAATATGCTGAATACTAGATCACTTGGTATTTAAGTTTTAAATTGTTTTCGTAATTGTATCTAGGGTTCTTAGAGAAATCTTCTGCGTTATGTATTAGTTCTCCAAGATTGTCACCTTTTATAGTATACCTGTGGATTGTTGATTATTTAGCTACTCAATATTTGTTTCAATGCTTCATTTGTTTGTGTTCTCTGCACTTTCGGATTGGTCCAAATGATGTGCGTTAGAGTTTCTTACACTAATGTGAAAGTGACATTTGTTCTTGATATATTCATTTACTTGAGTGTGTTGGTTGCTCTTTGATATATGTTTCATTACCAGACTTCTTTTAACTCTTCTTTCTATGATTCCTTTTCATAAAAGATATGCACATATTTTTCAACCTTTCTGGACCAGGAGAGAAATCTTCTCTTTTCATGTTTTTTTTTACAATTTCCTAAAAGTGTAAATTTTCTTTCAGATCTCAAACTGTAGCGGTTATGTGTTCATCAGCAAACATGGTAAAACCTGCAAGGATAAAGATATCATCAATGATGCCTGACTGGTCTCAGCTCCCGGATGAGCTACTAAACCTTATCTCCAAGAATCTGGACAACTGTTTCGATGTTCTTCATGCTCGTTCTGTTTGCAGCTCGTGGCGATCCACGTTTCCTTTTCCTTCTTGCTTATTACGCCCGAGTTACTCTCTTCCCACTTTCGCCGACTTCCCTTTTGTAAGCAAAGACTTGTGCACCCTCGAGAAGATCCATTTGTTCCTATATAGAGTTCGAACCCCTGCTGCTGCGTTACCATCCGCGTATTTTCTGGGAGGAATAGGTCGAGATGAGTCAGAGGATCATATGGAGCTTCCATCTCCTCTTCAGTTCTCAGTGAGAGTGAAAATCCGAGGATCTGATCCTACCTTGATGAACATTGTCGGCTGCCAGATTGTCCTTCTGGGATATCAATACAGAATGATGGGTTGGAATCCTGAAAAATTGGGCAACAGATTACAGGAGGGGGGAGGAGAAGAATTTGTTGTGCTCCTCAACTACACTAAAAATTTGTATGTGTTAAGAAGCACTGAAATGAGATGGATGAAGCTTAAGGTAACATCAGATGCTTCATGCTCGGATTTAGTCGCTTTTAGAGGCAGATTTTATGCAGCCTTTCTCAACGGGGATATTTTCATTTTCGATCCTTATTCAATGCAACGGACTCCCCTGGTGCCCTCTGAGCCTCGACGATCAAGCAATTATCTGATTCCATCTGGCAATGATGAGCTTTTTCTGGTTGAGAAATTCAACCCATTTCCTGAATGTGGTCGAATAGATTTTAAGCGGTTCATATGTAGAGTGAGTAGGCTAGATGAGGAAGCTGGTAAATGGGTTGTGGTCAGTGATTTGGGAGACTGTGTTTTGTTTATTGGACACTTTGGAAATATTTGCTGCTCGGCTAAGGAGCTTCCTCATGACTGCGGTGTGAGTGGGAACTCAATTTTGTTCACCAATGTGCCAGGCAATGTAACATTTGCCTACAAATATGGAGTGCAGACAGGAAGGGCTGAAGAAGACCTTAATTGTTGGAGATTATCAAGACAGATTCGTGTGACGATCCTCAACACATTTCCAGTTGTGGCTCTCCGGCTTGAGTGACAAGCTAAAAACTCAGCTTTTTGATACTTGAGACATACTGTTGCTTTTGCTTTCATTAGATTTTGTGATCTCTGATGTTACCTATTGTTTTGGACTGCGTATTTGTGTCCCGGTGATATGTATTCCGGTTTTAATATTTTTTTGTTCTAAAACTTTCAACGACCTTCTCAAGACCAGGCACCTTCATGACTACAAACTTGAAAGACTGCATTAGATGATAATAAGATATTAAGATTGGTCATGTCCATCTCTTATATATGCCTTTGGAGCCAAAGTTGAGCTGCATGTACAAGTTTAAATCAGCTTCATTTTAATGTAGTGCAAGTATGCTAGTTATCATCAACAGAGAAGGACTTAACTTGAATTTATCCACCAAGGATTTATCATTCTAACAATCAGAGAAATGATATATCGATCATCGACTTGAAACCCCAAATGTATAAAGATAAGAAAGATTACCAAGAAAAATGGTTATTGGGACTCGTATGGATTAGTAGTGAAACACGTTGAAAAATGCACAAATGTCTACACCAAAATGGTTACATCTGAGTATTGATCACTTATATGGGTTATCTTCACTGAGTCCTTGCATTGCTCCTTGCAAGTTTTGTTGAAACTAAGGAAAAGTAGGCCTTTAACTCATGGCAATCATTCCCCAATGGCTGATCTAGAAAGTTGAAAACCATGAATGCCATGTCTCTTCGGGCAAGCTTAAGAGTTATCATAAAGCAAATAGGACTCTACATACTTGAATTTCTTCACCATACTTACTCGATATAACTATTTTTTTTTGTTAAAATGAGATCACTGACTTGAAACGAAAAATTAAGAAATCACATAAACTGAGTAATTTTTTTTTATAAAATTAATTTTAACCATTTTTATATAACATTCAGTATAGTGTTATTTCATGAACTATATTTTTATATCTGATTTATAAACTATACTAAAACACTTATATAATTGAATTAATTAATAAATTTTAAAAAGCCGAAACAAGAATAACAAAAACGTTTAGCTTGAAGGTGTTTAACAAACTAATTGTTGATTTGTTTCAATTAATTTAGTGTACACAAAGATTTAAATTTAAATTTAGTTATTTATTTTTAAAATTACATAAGTTACGAAAATCAAAACTATTGTGATATTTTAGTTCTGCATAATATTATAGTAATATCAATAATAATTGTTTTTAAACAAAGAGACAGACATTAACCTAGTTAATATATTGAAATGATGTATGTCCCCATCAATTGTTTTTCTTTTCATTCATCAACTTTCTGAACCATTTGACCGATTTTTTAGGATATTTTTTACGTACATCGTTGAAATCCACGTAAACCAGCCCAAACCAAACTGTGTATCTTGACGCCCATTCAAAATTGTCTAGCAACGACCACGCAAAAAAAAAACCTTTACATTAGCTCCGACCGAGATAGCATTTTAGATTGATGCCAATGAAATCATATGAGCCTTTAAGCTTTATATTTTAGATTGTTGTGCAGTGAATTTAGGCAAGCGACCGTCTTTTACGTTTGTTGGGGTCTGATTTCAACCATCCTTTGAGACCGAGCCGAACTTCAACACCTCGGGTTATCTTTCTAATAAGCTCGATGTATCCTGCCAATCAGCTTGGGTACACCATCAGACAGCTCGAGTACACCATCAGACAGCTCGGATACACCATCTGACAGCTCGAGTACACCATCAGACAGCTCGGGTACACCATCAAACAGCTCAGGTACACCATCAGACAGCTCGGGTACACCATCGACAGCTCGGGTACACCATCAGACAGCTCGGGTACACCGTTAGATAGCTTGGGTACACCGTCAGCTGGGGTACACCCTAAGAGCCTCTGTTCTGGTTGTATACGACACCGTTATCCCGTCCCGAGGCGACTTCACCCGTGTTCCCGAGCCGACCTCACCCGTGTCCCCGAGGCAACTTCACTCGTGTCCCCGAGCCGACCTCACCCGTGTCCCCGAGGCGACTTCACTCGTGTCCCCAAGCCGACCTCACCCGTGTCCCCGAGGCGACTTCACTCGTGTCCCCGAGCCGACCTCACCCGTGTCCCCGAGGCGACTTCACTCGTGTCCCCGAGGCGACCTCACCCATATCCCCGAGGCGACTTCACCCGTGTTCCCTAGCCAACTTCGCCAGAGCAGCCTCAGGTGCTTACCGGACAAAACACCCAAGGAGAAGTCCTCAGTCACCCGAGGAGGAAGTCTTCATCATTAGTTGCCCGAGGCAAGGACTTAGTAAAATATTCACCTTCAAAGTACCATTTCTAAAACAAGGCATCATTTCCAAAAAAGAAGGATCATTTCCGAAATGCCCGGAAATGATAAGGGAGAATCTCGAAGGATCAACTCAAATCAGGAAAACTTCCGAAAACCCCGAAGAATAAGGAAACTATCCTAATCCGCGATAGCGGACTTCAAGATAAATGGAAATCTTCCGAGAATATCGCTGGAGAGGCGGTTTACCATCCCTATATAAGAAGACTCAAGGCTCTCACAGAACGGGAAGCAAGAGCGCTCTAGAATTTAGACTACACAAAGCTCTGAAGCACAAACACTTTTTCTTTTACGATCAAACTCTTGTACGATCAAAATCATCTTTTTCCTAATAACATCAAGAACGCCATCTTTGGTTTCAATCCGTTCTGTTGTTCTTTGAGAATTCGCGTTTATTGTATCCCTAAAATAAAACCCTAGACAAATCTTGATTATGTTAGTTTCGAATTTCACAATTTGGCGCCGTCTGTGGGGATACTTTAGAATTCTCTTACCCTAAGAACGCAGAACTCGATCATCGAAAAAGACGATGAACGAAGACGATCCGCAAATACCGCCAGTTGGAGGTAACCAGATTCCTCTGAACCCTCAGAACCCCCAGGCTGATCCAGCAATCTCGGCGACCCTAGCTGAACTGAAGGGTATGATGGTTCAACTCCAGAGGAAAGCTGACGATCAAGAGAGAGCTAACAGAACCTTGGCGCAACAGATCGACGAAGTCGCATCCCGTGGGCAACGCAAAACCACGCATTTTCAAACTCGGCCGCCACGAGCTCGAAGGGATTTACCTGGCATCAACCCAACAAGACTCGTGTTCGCGACACCAACCGACAACACCAGAGTCGCAACCCGAGCCGACCCTGCCCTACGAGAGATTCAGGATGATCCCGCCGAGCCGAACGCAGCAGACCAAACAAACGAGCCAGGTGATCCGCAAGACAAGCATCCCCGAGCTGGAGTTAACTTCGCCGAGCGAACCGACCTCACAGATGACGAGGAAACCGAGGAAAACGTAAGATGGGCCGAAGAGTCCGAAAGAGATCGCGAGCTCGGCAAAATCCGAGCCTCTCTAGCCAAAGCGGAAGCCGATATGAAGCTCGTCAAGTCCCAGATGCATAGCGTTTCCTCCTCAGCACCTAATATCGATCGAATCTTGGAAGAATCTCGCAATACGCCTTTCACCAGAAGAATTTCCGAAGCAACGATTTCTGATCTGGGAAAGTTCAAGATCGACTCGTACAACGGGACAACCGACCCAAAGGGTCATATTAAATCATTCGTGATATCCGTGGCCCGAGCCAGGTTCAAACCCGGAGAAAAGGATGCTGGTCTGTGCTTACTGTTCGTGGAACACCTCAAGGGACCCGCATTGGATTGGTTTTCAAGACTAGATCGAAATTCAATTGATAGTTTTGACGAGCTGTCAACACTTTTCCTCAAGCAATACTCTGTGCTCATCGACCCCGGAACTTCCGACGCAGATCTGTGGTCTCTGTCTCAACAGCCCAACGAGCCGTTAAGAGATTTCCTCATGACTTTCAAATCAACGCTAGCCAAGGTTGAGGGAATCACAGACGTAGCTGCCCTTTTGGCTTTGAAGAAAGCTCTCTGGTACAAGTCAGAATTCAGAAAAGAGCTGAACCTATCCAAACCTACTATAATTCGCGACGCGCTGCACCGAGCCTCAGATTTCGTCGCCCACGAAGAAGAAATGGAGGTACTAGCGAAGAGACACGAGCCGACAAAGCAAGCATCCCGGACCGAGAAAGCCCAAACAGGACCGCTGAGCCAGAAGAAGTTGAATCACAGTGAAACGTACACGCACCACGAGGGGCATGTTTTCTCAGGAGCCCACAACTATCAAGTCGACGTAGGCCGAGGCCAAGGCCGTGGGCGAGGAAGAGATTCATTCACTTGGACAAGAAGTCAACCCCTAGGTGACGAAAAAGAATACTGCGAGCATCACAAGACCTTCGGGCATCACACTTCCAGATGCAGGAGCCTCGGAGCAATATTAGCGGCCAAATTTCTAGCCGGAGAGCTTGGGACAAACATAACCCTCAAAGACCTACAGCCAGAACAAGTTCAGCCCGAACAGGTGGACACAGCAAGGGGTCCCGAGCCAAGGGAGCCAGAGGCTCCGAAGAGAATCCGGGGAACACCCGACGAGGAGCATGACGGAACACGACAAAGAATCCACACGATAATGGGAGGATCAGCGTTTTGCCCCAACACCGTAGCCGCGATCAAAGCCTATCAGAGACGAGCCAAAGCACCCAGCAACTGGTTAAGGCCATTCGACCAACCTAACGATGTAATCATGTTCGAAGAAAGTGAGACAAATGGGCTCGACAGGCCTCATAACGACCCTCTGGTAATCACGCTTGCCATCGTAGATCACGACGTATCAAGGGTGTTGATCGACACCGGCAGCACTATTGATGTAATTTTCCGTGAGACGCTTCGGCAAATGAACATCAGCATGTCGCAAGTAAACCAGACTCCGAGGCCAGTACTTGGATTCTCTGGAGAAACCCTAATGACACTCGGAACTATTCAGATGCCAGTCCAGGCCAGTGGAATAACGAAGATAGTTGATTTCTCTACAACGCCATTATGGGCACCCCATGGTTAAACCTAATGCGAGCTGTCTCCTCGACATACCATCTCTGCTTGAAATTCCCGACGCCTAACGGTGTGAAAACGATATGGGGAAGCCAAAAGAATCC